CCCTTTAAAGGTGATAAATGTCTTGCACCCAAACTTTGTCTCACTGTTGCTTTTGGAGAACACAGCCCTCAAAAGTTCTCTTCCCTCCATCTCCAGGGCCTCCCCACACGTGCCAGTTCCCTTCTCTGTGCATCTCTGAAGGCCCTGTGTGCGGGGCTGGCGTCAGGAGTGTCCAGAATATGGTCCCAGGGCCTCCTGGACCTGGGCTGAGCCCCGTCCTCCATGCTCCTCCCCTTCCCTCTCTGTCAGCTTCACTCTCTCCCCGCCCGTTCCTGCCCCCCTCCCCCCCTCGTCCCAGCTCCCACACCTCTCCAGCTCCAAGCCACTCTCTCTGAGAGCCCTTCCCGTGGCAGCCACATGGCAAGGGCAGCCTGTCTGAACACCCTTAGAGGCCAGAGCCCCCCTAAAGCTCAGTCCTGCCCTCCTCAACAAACAGGTCCTGGGAGAGCCATCTATTCAGGGCTGGACACAGACATAAGAGCCAGGAGGCTCACAATTTTGCACCCTTCAAACCAAATTCCTTAAATATAGCACAGCATTTATTCCATGGCCACGGGAGAATGGGTTTTCTGTTAATAAAAACTGAATATCTCCTTATTTGTGATGAAAACAAGAGCTCTGAATGTAACATAACATTTTAACTTGTCTGGAATTATCTTTCGGTTCCTGATTTTTCTGTCACTCTGAAGTGACACAAGTCATTCACATTCTCTAAGAATAGAAGTGACCTGTTGGAATATAGCAATAAAGTCTCATTAAAAATATGTTTAAAAAATCTTATTTCTGGCTTTCCTGTCAATAAAACATATTGTACTTTCTGTGGCTCTTATTTTCTCTTCTGTTTCCTTTTGTGGTTTTTCAAATCAGATTTGGAAAGGCCCATAAAAGGATATACATTTTCAAATCTAAAGTAAATCACTTGTTCCCAGGAAGCACCTCTTTGGTTTCAGAATTTTAGGGCTGATTTCAGGCAACTGGCAGGGAGCAGGCCTCCAGGTTGGGTTCTGTGCAATGTGCAAAAGTAATCAATTGGGAGAGCAAGTAAGAAGTGGTTTCTAAAAATGGCCACTCGAGGGTGCTGCATGCTCAGGTGGGAGTCATAGGCACACCGTTTACAATACATTCCAGTGATATTTCAGTGGCCGGTGTAGATCGCAAGGCCAGCCGACTGTGCAGTCCGGCGCTGTGTCTGTTCACTCACTCCTCAGACCCCTCCTAAGCCCCATCCTGTGGGTCGACCCTGGCTGGGCTGTCAGGGGTCCCAGTAACAAGGATCCCCAAGCCTAGAGGGCAGAGAAGGCTGGAATAGGAGGAGACAGGAAGTTCACAGTACAGGAGGGGAAGGACGGGGAGAAGGCCCTGGGAGGAGGGGAAGGCCCAGGAAGGCCTGCTGAGGGGCGGGTGAATCTGACCCATCGGCACAGCAAATCCTGGGGACTCAGGCCTCACATGAAGGTCCAGAAGTCCCGGGCACTCGGCACTGGCTGGGCATGGCGACCAGGCCCTGTGAAGAGAGAAGCCTCCTGGCGAAACGTGGCCACCGTGAAGCTGCGGCCAGGGCCCCCCTGAGGATCCTGGGCCCTCGAGTCACAGCTGAAGCAGCAGAGGACGCAGGTGATGGCCACAGTCACCACGAACAGCACCACCACCACCCCAATCACTGCCGTTTCCATGGCCCACTGAGCAACCTTAGGTCCTCTCAGAGCCTTCGCTCCCATCCAGAACAGGAGGCTCTTAGCGATCGCAGGTGCCCGGTGCTCCTCCGGCGGCTCTCCCTTTGTCTCCTAAGAAGATGCTGCTCCGAGTCCCTGGGTTGCTCCTGCTCCAGGCCATCGGGCACCGCCACGTGGCCCCACTGCTCAAATCTCAGATGATCTCTGTCTATTTTCTAAGCCTCAGGCCAGGCCTCCAAGAGCTGTGGTCAGCTCCATGTCAGCTTCTAGAAGAAGCACTGTCCTGGAAGACGTGAGCACAGACTCCCTGGACACGGAGGAGGTGGAGAGGAGGGGTCAGAAGACGTCGCACAGAGACAGCCTAGCCAGCCCTGGCCCTCCCGTGACGCCTAAGGATTTCAAGAGCAAGTTACACTCAGACCAAAGACAAAATACTCCCCCTACTGTGGATGCAGGAGTATCCCGGCTCCTCCCCAGGAGGGACCTTGGGCCAGTCCTTCAGTTGGCCTATCTGCTGCCTCCCCAGCCCGTGGGGGCAGGGACATGAGGAGGGAGGAAGGCATGCGCCAGCTCTGGGCAAGGCAGGGGACACTCACGGGTCACCCCAGGTGCCAGGGCCTTCAGCGAGGGCTGGAGGCAGGGGCAGGTTGCATTTGGCCTCCTTTTCTGCATGGCGCTGGGATCATGCAGTTTAGATAGAGTATCGTGTTCTTCCCCGGGAATCCCTGCCCTGTCCATGACTGTGGGGCTGTTTACCCAGAGGTCCCGGAAGAGCCTTCTTAGGTGCTGGCCTCACCCGCCCTCTTTGCTGCCTGCTCAGCCCGTTGCTCACACTCTTGTACTATGAAGACTTACCCTGGGCTTCCCAAGGGCCAGCCCTGGCTGTACCTGGTGCTGCGACCTCCTGGACTGGTGGCTGTCCCAGGGACCTTGGCGTTCCTCCCTGGGTGCTGCAGCCTCCGTCCCACTTGGAACTTGGCTCCAAGATGTCTGAGCAACTGTGAACACTTCCTGAATTCTTTCCTCCAATTGTGAGCGAGGGCCCAGGACCCACACTGCAGCTGTCCAACCCCCGCTCAGCAGTTATCCTGCCCCACCAGGCGCACCCCAGGCCATTTCCACCCTGCTCCCTGCCGGGAGGTCAGGGGAATAAGCTAGGCCCAGGCAACTGAGTTAGTCTGCCAGGTCAGAGCCCTTTCACACCCAACACCTCCTGAGACCCCCACCACTTCTAGAAAGGAGACTGGACTAGTAGCCTCACTTTGTCCCTATTCTGGGAAACAGAGTCGTGAGAACAATAACTCCAGGCATGGGACCTCACCAGACATGATCTCATATAACCTCCCCAGCACCCCTGCATAGCGATAGCAGTACAGCCTCCATTTTATAGATAAAGATCCTGTGGTCATAGAGGTTACATGACCTGCCTGTAGCCCATTCTGAATTAGCCATGTTAACAGAAGCAGCAGTGGCTGAGGGGGGACCGCCCTTCCTCCACTCCTAGCTCAGTGCACTTTCCAGTTACCGTGGGACCACAGAGTGACCATCTGATTCTGTGATTTTACTGATCTGGGTGCAAAGTGCCAGAAAGGGCAGAGGGCTGGCCCAAGTTCACACAGCCTGGGGCCTTTTCAGTTTCTCCAAGGCCCAAGGGAACTTGCTTTAGAACCAGTATTAGGAAACTGGCACTTTGCACAGAGTGGGAGAGCAGCTTTTCAGAGCAAGCGATGGCCTGTCGTATTCTCAATCTGTCCCTTTTCTGAGATGATGAGACCAGCTGGGCCGTGGGCTCCTCCTCCACATGGAGCAGGCTGTGGGCTGCAACAGGAAGCCAGTTCCTTGGATTATTTGTATTAACTGGGATGGCCAGAAGGAAGGAGACGATGGGCAGATCTGCAGGGCCTGTGGTTTCAGATTGAGTTACCAACATCACCTCCTTAACTGGGGTGATAGAGGGCATCAGGGGACTAGGCCTCAAGCTTGAACATTTGTTCCTTTGACTTCTCATTGCCTGTTCTTCCTGTGCGCATGCAGCTGTAGGCCACCTGCAGATTGTCTGAGTGGTTCCTCATTTTTAAACTGGAATAAAGGCCGATTGCTCAGCAAGTTCTCTCCTGCCCTGCATAGGCTTCCTTTCCTGTTTCCGGCTTTCAGGGAACCTCCTCTCCGTCTTTGATTCATCTGTGAAATCAGCCTGGAGATACTTGGGAAAGGGGCAGGGCTGCAGGGAGCAGCCAGAGGAGTCCTGGCAGGAATCCAGGAGGGAGATGGAGGGGGCTGGGCTAGGCAAGGCATGGGAATGGAGAAGGGGGTGGATTTGAAGGACACTGCAGAGAAAATCAACACTGCATGGCAGCCTAGGGTCCACTTTCCCAACCCAGAAACCTAAGGTGGAGGAAATCAGTGTGAATTTGGCTCCTTCTCTCTCTCACACCCTCCTCCTCCAGCCCTCACAGAGAATCCACTGGGAAATAGAAAGGAAAGAGGACATTCTGTTCCCGTGAGTCACCAGGCCCCTGACTCTCTGGCCTGCTCTCCAGCCCCTCCCCACTGCCTCTCCTGGCCCCCAGTCCTCATCTCCCCCGACTTCCCACCTCATCTCACAGGCACAGGCTGAAGGCCTCAGAGCCAGACTTCCTCCCTCGCTGTGGATCCCACCAGCTGTTCACAGAGCATATTCCAACGAGCCTCCAGGCTTTGGCAAGGGGGCATCTCTGTTATCCAACCCATTGCAGAGAAGAGGACAGTGAGACCCCAGCATTCTCCCAAGGCCATCCAACACCCTGCACCCCAGCACCACAGACTCCACTTTAAAAAACTCCACTCGCTGCCTCCCAGCCCTCCCACCACGCACAGGCACCAACTGGGGCAGGATGGCTGAAGACACAAGGCTTGGAGAAGAAACCCTGACCCAGTTACCAAGGAAAGTGGATTCAAGGCAGCTGGTGGATGGGGCTTCCTCGAGTTTCAGAGCTCAGTCTGCCCCGGACATGGGCTGAAAAGAGTACAGGGGCAGAGCCCTGGGAAGCGAGCCTCACAGTGGCTCCAACCTTCCTCTCCCCAAGGCCCTGGACTGTCCCATGGAAGGCCAGAGCCCTGCTGGTGCACACAGGACCTGCTGTGGACAGGGTTTTGTGCAAACCCTGAATCCTCCCTCAGAGCTCAGAAAGAGCCCACCCAATTCTTCCCACTCCACAACCAGCCCCTAAGACCCAGACAGAAGCTGCCTGCTCCAGGCACACACTTCCCATCAGAGAGGGAGGTCCCAGGGCAATGAGGACACAGGCCGGGCAGCTCCCTCCCGCTGCAATCAAGAGCCTCTTCACAAAAGCTTCTTAGTGGTTTTTATTTTCTTGGACTAAGGCACCGATGAATTGACTGTGCAGCCTCGTACTGCCTTCTCCAAACCAAAAGGACATTCTCAGGGCCTCTCCCAGTGCCCCGCCTGCCAGAGGCCTTTCAGCGGCCTGATGAGGAGGTCAAGATGGGCACTTCACATCCACTTGTGTGCTGGCTCTGCCAAGACACCCTTGTCACTTCTTGGGCTCACTGGTAGTTACAGTCACAAGGTGGGCTGTCCAGCCCCAAAAGAGCACCCTTACTCTCCACTCCCCAAACCCTTCAGCACTTCAGGCCTCAGTGTTCTTCTGTTCTCTGCTGCCATAGTACACTGGGGCATAGCATGCAAATGCAGCCAGAGCAAGCCCCAGGCCATTGTTCCCCTCATTCACCCCAGAGTCGCATCCTTCCACATGGAAACGTGGGGTCCACTTGTCCTGGGAACGGATGGCAGGGCAGGGGCAGCAGCTGTCCATAGGCTCCGGCGGCAGCAGCCTCAGCGAGCGTGGCGGGGGTGGTGGCGGTGGGGGTGGTGGTGGTGGTGGTGGTGGTGGTGGTGGAGGTGGTGAGGGGTGTGGCGGGGGTGGTGGTGGTGGAGGCCCACATTCAGCACGTGAGATACGTGGCCAGGATGATGGTGATGGTAGAAGATTCCCAGGTGGCCCCCCCGCCGGAAGGGCCAAGGCTGGGCCCGGCGGACTCGGTTTCCCCCTGCAGCTATACGGTTCCTCTCCACGTCACAGTCCCGCCGTCCATGGAAAAGGCAAGTGGCCAGCAGCAACAGTAGCAGCAGAACCGCCACAGCAGCGCCTGTGATCCATCCCACGAGGGCCGTGCTCCCCAGGAGGCCCAGCATCTGGGAGCCAGACAGTCCCTCTCTCCCCAGCAGCTCCTCACTCCTTTCTCCCCTTCAGCAGCCTCCGCTCAGCCCTCTCAGTCACTGAACTTTGTTGTCTCCGCTGCGGGCTGGAGAGCAGCCAGGGAATGTGGGCGAAGCCTGTTTGGACTTGCAACTGCTGGCCAAGGGTGAAGCCAGGCTGCTGTTAACTCTGAGGAGGCCTGGCAGGGAGGCCGGGTGGAGACAGAGGAGCTGTCAGGATGGATCTGGTTGAGGGAGGAGCCCTGAGTCTAGAGGAAAGAAATCCTCCTGCTCCCTGGCTCGGTGACTTTCCCTCTCCGGGTTTCAGTCTCCTCTCAGAGACTGTGTGGAACAGAGATGAACAACACGGGCTTTGGAGCCAGACAACTCTTTTGCTGTGAGATTGTGCACAAGTTACTTAACCTCTCTGTCCTTTGTTTCCTCTTCTGTAAAATGGCTGCTAACACTTCCGTCCTTAATAGGGCGTTCTGAGGACTAAAGGAGTTGAGATGCATAAATCAGCAACACCAGCTCCTGTCACACGTTTGCCATTGATATTACTGCAATGGACTCCATGGCTCAGGAGACATTGTCCTCTGAGAGTCTGTGATTCCCTGTCCTGCAGCCTGCAGTGCCCTCCGGGGCTGAGTCAGGCTCTGTCAGATGAGCCATCCTGAGCTCAGTGAGCTTGAGAAGCTCAGGGAGGCACCGCAGGCAGATTTTGCCATGCAGGGAGGTCCTCCATCCGGCTTGTGCTGGGAGGCAGGAGGGTCTGGGTGTCCGCCCAAGTTTGCTGGGAGGCAAGAAGGAGGCCACTGAGCTCAGAGAGGGCAGGCACAGGCCCAGTTCAGCAGTCTCAACTGGCCATAAATGGCATGTTCCTTGCTCTGTCACACCCTCCCTGCCCAGCAGTGGTGAGTGCCAGTCCTACCCAGTGGAGCATTTACAGAGCGGCAGGATCTGAGCGGTACTGACTCTCCCTCCAAGCCCACCCGCTAGGCCCAGATCCTCTGTGTTCCTCCTGGGAGGCGCCGCCCCATCCTGCTGACAGGCCTCAGCCACAGGTGCTCATTGTCTCTCTGGCAACCCTTTCTGCTGTGGGCATGCTGGGCTGTTCTCCAAGCCCTTCCTCACATGCAGCGGGGCTCCCCAAAGCCCCAGCTCTGTGTCTGCCTCTGCAGGGTCCCTCCAGGCTGAGTCCCCAGCCCCTCCCTCTAGACTCACTTCCCCGCCACCTGGAGGAATGTCAGCAGACACCGCAGGGCTGGTTCTCTGAGTTCTGGTGGCACCTCCACCCTGTGATGTTGGGCAAACCCCTCGCCCTGACCCAGCCTGTCTCCTCTGCAGAACTCCCAGGGCAAGAAGTGACCTCCAGGGACCCTTCCCCCTCTGACCTCAATCTGAGGTGAGTTCTCTCAGGGAGGCCTGAAACCCTTAATGAAAACCCTCAGCAGATGAAAAGGCTAAACATTCCCTTCAACCAAATTGGGCTCAGGGGGCAGCAGGTTTAATGAATCCCGGCACTTCTTTGGCCCTTGGGGGAGCCACTTGAACTTTTAATGATGCTGGAATAAGAACTCCTCCTGCAGACTCCTGGGGCCCTGGGAGCCTGGCTGCCTTCCCTAGGGAAGTTAAGCAGGGAAGTCTGCTGTGAGGAGGAGGAGGAAGCCAAACAGGGGATTTTCGTCCTCAGAACTTCTCCAAGAAGACTCCCACCCCACACCAGCCGCTGGCAGCGGGGCAGGACCTTACAACTATGAACCTGAAGAACTTCAATCAGCAAAAAGGGCCCCTTGGAATCACCCAGATCCAGCCTTCACTGACAGATGGAGAAACTGAGGCCAGAGAAGGGAAAGACTTCCCTAAGTTCCCCCGGCCTTGTGTGCTAATCTAGACAGCAGGTACTCAACAGAGTACTGTCCCTGCAGTGAGGGAGCTGTCCAGAGTGAAAGCCTGAGATCAGCAGGGCCTTCCACAGAGACAGTGGGAAGATGAGGTGGAGATGCGAATAAACCTGGAGGGCGCGGGGGTTGGGGGGCCCCCTAACACATACACATACACATGACATCTGTTTCATTAGGTGCAGGTTCACTCCCCATCTGGGTAGTAGGATCCCAAAGTGAACATTTGATTAGATGCTTTGGGCACTCATGGGGGCAATGAGGGACAGCCATTGAGAATACAGTCCTCCGTGACTTAACCCATTTATGCCTAAGTTTGCAATGTTTTGAATTTTTGCAATCAGACCTTGGCAATGACCTTGATCAGTAGGATAAAAATAACTCCCCCATGCTTAGCGTTCCAATAATGGAATACCAGGCATAAATGTTAAGAAGTGACACAGCCAGGTGCAGTAGCCTGTAATCACAGCATTTGGGGAGGCGGAGGGGGGGTGAATCATTTGAGCCCAGGAGTTCAAGACCAGCCTGAGCAACATGGCAAAACCCTGTCTCTTTAAAAATTACAAAAGATTAGCTGAGCATGGTGGCACATGTCTATAATCCCAGCTATTCAGGAGGCTGAGGCAGGAGGATTGCTTGCGCCTGGGGAGTTGAGACAGCAGTGAACTGAGATCATACCACTATGCTCCAGCCTGGGCAACAGAGCAAGACCCTGTCTCAAAAAAAAAAAAAGTGACAGAGACCTTCTTGGAGGCTTGACTGTACACTGTACACAAGGGTTTGCAGGACTGATAACTTTAAGGACACTGTGGCTGTATTTCCGGATCCCGCGCCTCAGAAAAGCTTGTCATTGTATTTCTTCCCCAGGGTTGGGACTTCCTAGCCAAGGAACGGGAGTTCTAGACCACACAGCTGATGGGTAAGCTTTTTGAAACTCATATTATTTAGCTTCATGCCCATATTTCCAGGGTACACAGACTCATGCACATGCTTGTAAATCAACATTGCTCTGTAGGAAAACTCATACACCAATAATTGTGTGTGCACACACACATGTAAATATGCACAGGTGAATACAAGTTCCAGACAACTCAAACTTTTGCTTGTAGTAGCTGCAGGTGGTTCTTGGCAATCTAGCCATAGCAACCACATTGTTTTCACTAATTGGTGGCACCACCTAGTGGTGACACTGTAAATAAATCAGTTTTGTATTCTGACCTGTCAAAAGTTACAGTATCTGATGGTTGTTTATAGATCATAATTTGTACCCATGCATTTAAATCCTCTCTATTCCAAGTTCCTATTAAAATAGACAAAGAGGCAAAAGAGGGAAAATCCTATTCCACACCAGAAATCAATAAAAAAAATCAAATTACTGGCCCACAAACTTTAAGGAATTTCAACAAGATACAGTACAAATGGAGCCAAGCTGATGGGTGTATTGACTAAAGAAGGACATTCCTGGGAAATAATGGAGGATACGCCCCAGGAGAGCCTCCCTAAAGCCCCATAGTAGACAGCCAGGACTAGGAACAAGGCTGAGATGGGCATAAGTGGGAAACAAATTGAGCAACCTTGGGAACTGCGAATGCCTACTCACAGAGAAGGTAGCCAAGGCTCAGTTCGTCTTTTGGTTTGCACAGAAAAGTAGGGACATTGGCCAGCAGGTTTCTAACCCAGGTGCTCGTGCCAGTTAGAGAAGGGGGGACATTCTTCCAGCCAACCTTGGACTACCTCAACAAATAGTGAAAACAAGTTGCAGAGCAGAACAGCAAATTTCTCTTCTGTTCTCAGAAGCTCTCCCTGCCCTAATCATGGTCGATGGGATCTCCCAATCTAGAAAACTAAACTATAAATATTCCATTTTTCTTCTTTTCCCATTGCCTGGAACCAACATGTTTGAAAATGATCTATATATCTTTCAGAGGGCCCATTTCAAATCTCAATTCCAAACATATGTAGATCTAGGTCCCTCCATAAAGTGAACAAATATGTAATAATATCTAGACATACAAAAAAAGATGTAAGTTGTTGTATCTTTATCATTAGGGTAACTAGAATCTAAGAAACAAAAACAGTAAAATTCCGTAATTTATATTGTAAATACAATTCCAAAAGTCAGTCTATGTATGAATATGGAAAATATGCAAAAACAGGAAATTTATTTTCCAGTTAAAAACCAAATCTGGAAAGATTGCTTCGAGAACCTTCCCTATAACTCAGAAATAAATAAATAGATTAAAAGAGAGAGAAAGAAAAGAAAAATCCAGAAATCAAATACACCTATATAAGAGGCATTCCAGAAATAGAAAATAGAGCCCATGGAGAAACAATCATGAAAGAAATATAAAGAAAATTTCCTGACTTGAAGAATTAACTCCTTAGATCAAAAAGTGACTTAGTACTCAGCAAACTATCTATCTATCTACCTATCTATCTATTTAGAGACAGGGTCTCATTCTGTCACCCAGGCTGGAGTGTAGTGGCACAATCACAGTTGGCTCACTGCAGCCTCGACCTCCTGAGCTCAGGTGATCCTCCCACCTCAGCCACTCAAGTAGCTGGGACTACAGGCGGATCCCATCATGCTGGCTAATTTTTTTTTAATTTTTTTGTGGAGACAGTGTTTTGCCATGTTGTCCAGGCTGGTCTTGAACTCCTGGGTTCAAGCAATCCTCCCAATTTGGCCTCCAAAGTGCTGCGATTATAGGTGTGAGCCACCACACCCCGCTTAAGGAAACTATTTAAAGAGGCCAGATCATCTAGTTATATCCAGGTAAAATTTTAACATTAAAACAATAAAGAGAAACCAAATGGTATAACCATCGTGGAAAACACTTTGAATTTTCATATAAAACTAAACACACTCTACCAGCTATTTACTGTTTCTAACTATTTACCAGCACTCACACTCCTTGGAATTTACCCAAATTAGCTGAAAACTTTTGTTCACACAGAAATCTGCATGTGGATGTTTATAGCAACTTTATTCATAATTGACAAAATTTGGAAGCAACTGAGATGGTGAATGGAAGCAGCAGGTGAATGGATAAATAAACTGTGGTACACCAGACAATGGAACAGCATTCAGCACTGAAAAGAAATGAACTCTCAAGTCATGAAAAAACATGGAGGAAACTTAAATGCATGTTGCTAAGTGAGAGAAGCCAATCTGAAAAGGCTACA